ATATAGGTTTTGTTTAAATACAGTGTTTTGGTGACTTTGAAAATCCAAACATAAATGTCTCATAGAATAGTTTATTTTTAACTTGTTTTAATTTGATCAGAATGGTGATTTTAATATTGGATCAGAAACTGGAGGGTGTGCTGTGGGACCTACTGTCAGTACTGGGTACTCAGAGCCAGTTCATAGACTTCTCGAGAGGAAGGGCATTGGTCTGTGGTTCCTCAGAAAGGAATATTCTAGTTGAGAAATTAAGGGATGAGCCTTTACCTTGAGTTTGGGAGAATCATCATCCTAACCCCCATTTGAGGAATCACAATTTATCACAGAATATTCTCAAGTGAGTGGTTAACATCTACTCTCAGGTTAGTTATGCTGAGGACAATACTCATGTTAACAAGAATACAGATTCAGTTCTTACATAAGCCAACTGACCTTAGTCCTGACGGGCAAATACTCAGATAATAGCCTTGGTTTAAATATACCCTGGATGTTGGTCTACAGCAGTGGTTCTCAACCTTCCTAATGCCAGGACCCTTTAAAATTGTTCTGCATGTTGTGGTGACCCCCCAACTATAAAATTATTTTTATTGCTACTTCATCACTGTCATTTTGCTACTGTTATGAATCAGGCAACCCCTGTGAAAGGGTCGTTCGACCCCCAAAGGGGTTGCCAACCACAGGTTGAGAACCGCTGGTCTACAGTCTGGTGAGCTGGGCGTGGTTCAGACAGACTTCCAGTGATGTTTGTGGGATGTGTCCCAAATGTAGCCATCAGTCACAGGAAGTCTCAAGAATGTCTCAGAATGCCACACCATTACCATGACTAGAACACCAGCCTGAGTTCAAATATCAAGGGCGAGTCTTAGGACCTTCTGCAGGGACTGAGTCAACTAATGAAGTGCCTCCCATGTGAATATCTTGGTCAAAGGCTTTCTGCGCGCAAGGACCTAAAACCCAAGCAAACCTAACCACAGTAGGAACGTGCGTTTGTGTGCATGTAGAATATTTCCTGGAGGCTCTTAGAGAGTAAAGTACAGCAGAGTCCCATCGGAACCACAAGTGCAAGCAGTACCAAACTGGACGTTCAGGTTTTAAGAGGCTGCATGTCAGGCAGTATGGCACAGTGGATACGGGTTCAGGCCATGCAGTCAGAAAGATGAGAGTTCAAATCTTGGCTTACCTCGACTAGTGGGACACTTGTTTTCTGTGAGTCAAGAATGTGGTTTTACCTAGACTGCTCACTTGGCATGTGTATTAGTGTGCTTCTGTGACGAATTAACACAATGTTAGTGACTTGAAATGAAATATGATGTTGGTGAAGGACATTCAATGTGCCATAGACTGTAAGAAGAATGAATAAATCTGTCTTGGGAGAAGGATAGGCAGAGTGCTCCTTAGCAGTGAAGCTGGAAGGACGTCATATCCCAGATGTTCGACATGCTATCAGGAAGCACCAGTCCCAGAGAAAAGCATCATGACTTGCTGAATTGATACCGTGGCTACAATAGGCTCAGACACAGCAGTGCTGGAAGAGGTGGCACAGGGTCAGGCAGTGTTTTGTTCTGTGGCATATGCTTGATAGCATCTAACAGCAACCAGATGGCAGGCTTCTGAGTGAATGAACTCACCATCAGCAGGTAGGATGGCTAGCTGCTGATGAGTCCCAGGATCCGCAGGCAATATAGCGGGCTGGTGATTCAAATCTGAAAATCCAGAGGTCAGGGGACAAACCAGATGCAGGGCCCAGACCCCCCAAAACATGCAAGCTTTTCAATACATACACGGGCAGCAGGCCACGCCCCCCAAGGAAACTTCCTTTTAATTGATTGGCTGCTCATAATGGAAGTGAGTACGTTGTGGTAAGGAGCCTTGGTGGCACAGAGGTTACACACTGGCCTGCTCATTGCAGAGTCAGCTGTTTGAAACCACCAGCTGCTCTGCAGGAGAAAGAGGAGGTTTTCTATGCTCCTAAAGCAGCGGTTCTCAACCTGTGGGTCGCGACCCCTTTGGGGGTCAAATGGCCCTTTCACAAGGGTCGCCTGATTCATAACAGTAGCAAAATGACAGTTATGTAGCAGCAGCAAAAATAATTTTATGGTTGGGGTCACCACAACATGAAAAACTGTATTAACGGGTCCCAGCATTAGGAAGGTTGAGAACCACTGCCCTAAAGAATTAGTCTCAGAAACCCACAGACCAGTTCTACCCTGTGGTATTAGGTTGTTAAACGTGGGCTGTGAGATGAGACCCGATATTGTGTTAGATCTCGTCATGGGGGATTACTAAGTCTAAAATGCCAAACCACTGAGAACCCTGACCCAGCCAGTTGACACAAACATTAGCTGTCCCAGTCTTAAAAGCATAGATATTATGTGGACATGCAGCGACAAATGAGCGAGGAGATTTATCCGGAGGCAGAGAAGAAAACTGGTCTATCTTTTGCCTTGTATCACTGAGCAGTGCAAATGAAAAAGAATGTGGGAAATAAAGCCGTGCACGTGATTTAAGACGGGATACTAAGAACCTTGAATGCTAACCTCAGAGGTTGAACTTCAACAACAAAGTAGCGTAATGAAAGTCATCCGAGCAGACGAGCACAAACTAGTGTGCACCAGGAGTGGAACGCAAGAAAATACGGGCAGAAGAGAGAAAGGATCGGAGACGAAATCTGGACCGTTTGGGTGCTGAGGGGGATGGAAAGAAAGTGGCAAATGTAAAGATAAAACTGATTAACCAGGCAGCTGATTGCCTATGAGATGGGAATACAGTATTACCACACTTCACTCACCAAGGAAACAGAGGAGCCATTCAGAGGGAAAATGATGACTCCCCTCTCAGCATATACTTGGGTTTGAAATGTCAGATTTTAAAATGTGCTGGATACACCCACCTTGTTTCCAAAGAGGGGACTGTGGTCTTGGGATTGAAATGTTGATGTGCCCCAGCTAGGAGAAATGTGAGATATTTAAAGAATTTTGTTGAAGAGGTGAATTTGAAGGCAGAGAAAGTCAGGATTTGGCAAGGAACAAACCTGGGGAGAGAGGAAGGGCTTTTTAAGGAGGAAATTCTGGCCTTCATCGAATGTAAAGGAAGCGTCTGTCTGCTTCTTTTACAGACCGAAGTTCGGAGGGAAGTACTGCACAGGGGAAAGGAAACGCTATCGCTTGTGCAACGTGTCCCCCTGCCGCGCCGACGCCCCCACATTCCGGCAGATGCAGTGCAGTGAATTCGACACCGTGCCCTACAAGAACGAACTCTACCGCTGGTTCCCTGTCTTTAACCCAGGTAAGGGGCTGTCGTGGTGTGTCGTGGCTCAGAAAGCATTCATGTGTTAGGGTCTTGATGATGCTACACAAAGCCCAACAAAAAGACAATGGTGGTATTAAGACCTGGCCTTCAGCAGTTTCCCAGTTCAGAAATCTGAAGCACTAACGTGGTAAACTGGTCAGTGAATGTTGAAGGTGGAACATGCCCACTGCTGGGCTGGGCTCCGGAGGGTGAAAAAACACCTTATTAAAAACACTGGTGTCAAACCAACCAAGATGTGACAGAGTGCTAAACTGGGCATGTAGGAATCCAGTTTCTAATTGCTGATGAAATGGCGTCTTGATGCGTTAGGTAGAACTGACTGATTTGGGCCAAAATTCAGAAATGAGTCATCGTGGGTTTGGAGGAATTCTGAAGGAAGCTTCAAAGGAGGCCGTTGATGATTTTAAGCATGAGTAATCTTTCTTTTGGCAGAAGGAAAACGGGCAGGCATTCAAAACGGAGTCATTCCAAATGGGAGGGGACCCGCACTCGGAAGGCGAGATGCCCCCGGAAGGCGAGATGCCCCCGGGGAATGCCCTGGTCAGAACTGAACGGGAGCCAGTGCTGGGCCAGGAGTCAACGTTTCATTTGTAAAGAACAGCATCCAAAGGGGCATCTGTAAAATAAGGCATCTAAAGGCTGTACAGGTCCCTGGGTGGCACAGTTTGCTCTTGACGCCCGCCAAAGGGTGGGTTCTAGAAATCCACTCAACAGCACCATGAAAGAAAGGTTTACCAAACAGTAAGCTACTTCTAGAAGAGTACCAGGGGGCTGGACCAATTTGCACTAGCTTGACCCACGCTGAGAATTTGCCTTTTTATTCCAGTCATTCTGGGCCAGAATCTCTGCTTTCGTAAGTTCCCCGCGGGGGGTTTGTAGGTCTTCTGCAGGAGTCAGAATTGACCTGAGGGCAGAGGGTTTGGGAGATCCGTAAGAATCACCTGCAGAGGGCAGGGGAGGGTCTTGTTAAATTGTAGGTTATGTATGACTCAGTATCGTTGGGGTGGAAATGCAAATTCCTAGCAAGGAGTTTAACTGGAACGAATCTCTTTGAAGGCCTGACAAATTACACTCGGGAGTAATTTTATGCTGACCAAGAGCAGATCGCCATGAGCCGGAATCAACTTGGATGCAATGGGTTTGGTTTGGGGTAAAGAAAATGGATTTGGAGAAGGAAGCAGCATCCACTGAAGAGCATCCTCTATGAAGACAAAACATACCTGAAAATGAAGAAAACTCAATGATCATTGTTGCTGTTGTTCTTGTCAGTTTCAACTCATAGCCACCTGTGAATAAACAGCCCAGTCTTGCACCAGCCTCACGTTTGTTCTTATGTTTGAGCCCCTTGTTGCAGCCACTGTGTCGATCCATCCTGTTGTGGGCTTTACTGTTTCTCCCAACCCCCTGCTTTATCAAACATAATGTCCTTCTGCAGGGATTGTCTCTTTTGACAATATGTGCAAATTATGTGAGACAAAGTCTCACCATCCTTGCCTCTACAGAGCATTCTGGCTGTACTTCTTCCAAGACAGATTTGTTTCTTCTTTTAGCAGCAGTCCGTTGTACTTTTAATATTCTTAATTTAATTGAATGATAATTACAATGCATCCATTCTTCTCCAAATTTACCTTATTCAATGCTCGCTTTTCACATAACATATAAAGCAATAGAAAATAGCATGGTTTGGGTTAGGTGCATCTTCATCTGAAAAGTAGCATCCTTGCTTTTCAACATATTCAAGACACATTGTGCAGCAGATTTACCCAATGCAATGTGGCCTTTGAGCTCTTGATTGCTGTTTCCATGAGCATTGATTGCAGGTCCAAGCTAGATGAAATCCTTGCCAACTTAAATAGTTTCTCCATTTACCAGAATGATACCTATTAGTCCAGTTGTGAGAATTTTGGTCTTCTTTACATTAAGTATGTAATTGGTCTTATTTACATTCAGTATGTAATTCATAATGAAGTCTGTAATCTCTGACCTTCATCAGCAAGCACTTCAAGTCTTCCTCACGTTCAGCAGGCAAGGGCGCGTCATCTGCCTATCACAGGTTATTAAAAGGCCTTCCTTCCATCCTGATGCACATTCTTCTTCTAAATAAGCCTTCTCTAATGATTTGCCCAGCATACAGATTTAATAAGCATAGTGAGAGGATGAAACCCCAATACACACCTTTCCCTGATATTAAGCCATACCGTGTTTCCCTGCTCTATGTGCACAACTACCTCTTGGTCCACATTCAAGTCCTGCATGAGCACAATAAAATGGTTTGGAATTCCCACTCTTCACAAGGCTATCCATAGTTTATTATGATCCATATAGTCAACTACCTTTGCATAGTAAATAAAGCAGAAGTACACATCCTTCTGCTATAATCTGCTTTGAGTCAAAATCCATCTGACACCAGCAATGACATTCCTTGTTCCCTGCCCTTTTCTGAATCTCACTTTTAGGTCTGAAAGCTTCCTGTCAATTTACTGCATTGTACACTGTACACTAAAACCTGCATTTGATGATCTTCAGGTTGTTGAAACATTTCAGTTGGTATCTCATCAATTTCTGGACCCTTGTTCTTGGCTAATGCTTTCAGTAGAGCTTGAACTTTGCCCTTCAATACTGATGGTTCTTGCTCATATGCTACTTCTTGAAATGGTGGAATGTCCACTAGTTCTTTTTGGTCCAGTAACTGTGTATTTTTTCCATCATCTGTGATGCTTCTCGGATCATTCAATGTTTAGCCCATAGGATTTTTCAATTTTTCCATCTTGAGGCTTGAGATTAATTTGTTTGTTTGTTTTCAGCTTGAGATCTCATGAACATGTTCTTCCTTTTCAGTTTTATAACTGCAGGTCTTTGCACGTTCCATTATCGTGTTTGACTTTGTCTTCTCCAGCTGCCCTTTGACATTTTCTGTTTAACTCTTTGACTTCATTTCTTCCATATGCTTTAGCTGCTCTTTGATGAAGAGCAAATTTCAGAGTCACTTCTGACATCCACTTTGACCTTTTCTTTCCTACCTGTCTATTTAATGACCTTTTTTGCTTTCTTCATGAGTGATGCTCTTGATGCCCTCTCACCTGATGAAGCACTGAAAACACTCATTCACCTGTGACAAGAAATTCGGAAGAGGCTACCTGTCCAACAGAATGGAAGAGATCTGTATTTGTACCCATTTCAAAGAAAGGTGATTCAACAGAATAAAGAAAATCTCGAACAATATCATTACTATCACATGCAGGTAAAGGTCATTCAAGAATGGTTACCACAATACGTTGACAAGGAGAATGGTTGCAACAACTACACGGTGGTAACAACAGCCTGGAGCTGGCAGAAATTCAGGCAGGAGAGGACATGGAAAAGGGGCATCATTTTGACATCAGATGGATCTTCATTGGAATCAGAGAATACCAGGAGAAGGTTTCCTGGAGTTTCATTAACTATAAAGAAGCATTCCACTGTGTGGATCATAACAAACTATGGATAGTATTGAGAAGAATGGGTACTCCAGAACAGTTTATTCTCCTTATTTAGAACCTATACACGGACCAAGAAGCAGTCATTCACACAAAGCAAGGGATTATTACATATTTTAAAATCAGGAAAGTTGTTCACCATGGTTGTATCCTTTCAGCATATTTATTCAGCCTATATGTTGGGAAAATCACTTCAGAAGTTGTGTTATGTGAAGAACAGGACAACGGGATTGGAGGACAACCTTCATTAGGCAAATGGAACAACCATGCTTGCTGAAAGTGAGGAGGACTTCAAGCACTTGATGAAGATCCACGATGGCAGACCTCAATATGGATGACAACTCAATGTAAAGAAAACAAAAGTCCTCACAATTGGACCAATAGGTGACATCATGATAAATGAAAAAAGGTTGATGTTGTCAAGGATTTTGTGTGACTTGGCTCCACAATCAATGCTCAAGGAAGCAGCAATCAGGAAATCAAAACCCTGCATAGGGAAAATCTGTTGCATATCTCTTTAAATTGTTCAAACCCAAAGATGCCACTTTTGGACTATGGTGACTTGGCCCAAGCCATGATATCTTCAGTCACCTCTATGCATCGCAAAACCTGGACAATGAGCAAGGAAGTCTGCAGAAGAATTGATGCCTTTGAATTACAGTGTTGGTTAAGAATATTGACAGTACTTTAGACATGCCAGAATAACAAACAGTCTGTGAAGAAGAACAGAGAAAATGTTTCCTAGAAGGGAGGATGGTAAGACTTCTTCTCACATATTGTGGCCATGTGAAAAGGACGTAATGATTGGTCAGCAGACAGACCTGGAATTATGTATGCTTTTGTTGATAGTTATTATCTTTTGTCTTGTTTTCTCTTTTTAGTCGAGCTTTTGTTTTCTTTTTGCTTGGACTCTTTTATTGTTGGTTCACCTAATTATGTAAGACAGGCCTGGGAAGCAAGCTTGAGGAGAAAGTAATGGGACCGATAGTTCCAGAGGGACTTGGAGTGAGAAGGAGGCCGGGGAAGGGAGTGGTGAGTAAACAACAATAGAGACAGGGGAACCACTAGGGAAAATCAACAATGAGGAGGACGTAGAGAGCCTGGGAGTGTTGGAGCAACCGCAATCTAGTTGAGAGGAATTACTAAGAGGTAGAAGAAGGGCAAGTGTGATGGTGGGGCAGGAGGAAGGTCAAAGGAAACAAAGGACCGATCTAGGAAGCAAAGCTATGAATAGAGGTATAAGCATAGGTGTGTACATATGGAAATACATTAATTCATTAAAAATAGAGGTTTGTAATTCATCCTTAACCATCTTTTGCACAGTTGGAGTAGGATCTCATGCCTTTAGAGGTGGGCCATTTAGATAATAGTCATTGTGTTTGATATCTTAGAAACAGGTGACTTCTCTTCTCTGAATATACCATGTGCATCTTTTAAATACCCATTTCTGCTTCTACTGAACTTACACCAGTTGTTCTGACAATACTTTTAGCTCTTTGG